AAGTATTTAAATTGGCCATAATTACTGTAAAGTCAACTACACTGGGACTGAAGGGCGTGTGTTCTAACGACAAAAGGGCCAAGTGTACAGATAAAAACAAAAAATAACAAGTTGTTTTAAATGTTAATGTTAGTGGATTTTTATGAGTTGTTTCTATGGTGGGAATCTTAAAAGTGTCTTTTTGCACGTGCGCATATTCATTCGCTCATTATGTACACAATTGTCGAAATAACAGAGAAGCAGTCAAATCACCAATTCATCAAAAGTTGCCAAGTTTTAACTGCACATAGTTACATTGGGAACTAATAAAAAGTAGATTATACAGCTATGTAAGATTCGCATTATGTCTCGTTTTCATATTTGTATTATCTCAATGATTATGGTAAACGGTAGTGACGTTTATATATACGTTAACGTCATCTTAATTCCCACCGTCAAGACATTGTATGTGTCTTGTCGACATTCGAGCATACCAACATTTGAAGTTCATGTAGACATGGAAATTAGATATTACCACCCTGATGCATTACCTCACTTTTAAAAGTATTGTGTGTTCTAACGACAAAAGGGTCAACTTTTGCTCTCTTTTTTAACTGTACTTAGGTATCTCTTAGATCTCGATTTAAAATGAAAAAAAAAATATCACTATTATATATAATAAGTTTTTACATGTAATGGCTACATGGTAAAAGTATTTAATATTTACAAGCTCAACCAATATCATTTTGAAAAAAATGGGCAAACTTTGAAAACAACCCAACATTTTGGTAAACTTTAGAGATATTTTAATGAGGCTGAGCAGGAAAATGGTCTAACAAGTGTTAAAAATGGATGGGGTATTGTCACATTTTTATACATACTTCAAACATTTTGAGTAGAAAAAAATAATTTTGCTTTTGTGATTGGATAGCTGAATGTTCTATTTGTTTCTTCTAAACAGGCAGTAGGAAATTATTTTTATAAGGGTGATATTATAAATTATTTAGATTTTCTGTAAAAGATCTAATCTCTATCTTTAATACCCAATCTTAATTTAAGCAAAGTGTTCATAACGCGTAAACCGTACGGTAAATATTGTTATAATTTTACATACATATATACGAGGGGTTATCAAAAAATTCGTGGACTTTTTTGCTGATTAAAATAAATTTGAGATATTGGTTTGAAAATCTTACACTACTTAGAAGAATAAATAACAAATATACACAGAAAAATTCATGTTAGTAGCTCCTGATATTACAACAATATTTAAATATTCATAAACACATGTCGGTGACAGCGGCGCACTCCAAAACGTTATTGACGTCAACGTCATAATATATAACGTGCAACTTGTGATTCAACGTTACGCAGTTAATAACCGTTACTGCTTCTCAAAGTAATGTCCACCATTAATTTTTTATGCCACTTACACAAAATTGATAGTGAAACTTATTTTTCTCTGTTCGCCTGCTGTTTAATTTTTCATTAAAATGTTTTTTAGGTGTCATTCCAAATTACAACAAAATGTTATGATCGCGCTATTTTCTAATTTTCTGCGTGACCGACATTTTCCAGTTGTAAACAATATCGTCGCCTTGCGTTTCTAGTGATTTCAACAAAAATAACGGAAATGACGTCCATTGTTTTAAAGAATTACTTAAATGACATCATAGAAGAAACATGCGATGTTTATCGGATTTTCTACGTGAATAAGTAGTTTTTAGCAAACAATATACGATGACTAAAAGCGCTTTTCTACTGTGCGCGTGCTTATATAAAAGAATATAAAATCATTATCTATCGACGAAGTTAACTGTTCCTTTCAAAAAATGTTGTTAATATTCTACAAGGTATGCTGATAAAATTTCATTACAATACACGTTGACTTGCAAGAGATATTTAAAAAGTCCACAAATTTTTGGATAACCCCTCGAATATCTGACGTAAGTTGACAATTTTTCAGTTCCTTACATGTATAGTGCCCATTAAAGTGGTAGTACCCTAAAAAGGGTAAAAAAACAAAATCCATAAAGAAAGCCCAAAACGTCCAAATAGAAAATATTTGCAGGTTTGGTTTGATTGAGCCTCTTCAAGAAATAATTTCCGACAAATACTGTAGAATGTATGATATTTGTCCACGTATGGCGTTGTGATACCCGTAAAAGTTGCCAATGATACGCAACGATGTCAAAATCTAAAACGGGCTTCGGTGGACCATTTTGACGTCATGTGTAATCAAAATAGCTAACACTATGGGAATAAAATCAACGAAATACAATTTGATATATGGTCAACTTTTCACATGCCAATTTTCAAGAAGCTTCTTGTCGCAGATATTGCGATATACATGTATCTTAATATACTACTATTTTTTATCAAGAACCATTTTCTTAGTAAAGTTACATCATATATCACCATGCCTTTAAAGTTCTATTGTTTTAGTTCCCCGACGGTGTATTATTGTGCACGAGATATTAATGTTTTCATGTTTTTCTTACCATGCTGAATCGTAAAGGCGGGAATGTTTTGCTATATATATATAGGGACTTTTTATAAGGAAAATGTGGGTGAAATAACATTAGTAAGGCTGTTTTGTTAATAAAGGTTGTTGAATAAAATAATTGGATTATATTTGTGATTATTATATAAAATAGTTTAAATGGATTAAAACTTGTTGTGCTATAAAATAAATTAATATTCAAAAAAGAAATGTGTTCTTTTTTCCAATGTCTTGGATTATAAAATAAAATTAAAAGGAAATTCACGACACTACTCGAACGTTTCCAAAGTGTCGCATCCTGCCTTTATTTACCTCATAAGGAAAATTCAACATTAAAACATAAAAAAGGTAATAGTTTGAATTTAGAAACATCCACAGATGTGTTCGTACATGTGAATTAAAATTTAAGGTTTAATAACCAAAGAATTATCAGCAACACAATTATAAAGACTCAACCAAACTTTCCTACATGACACAAATAGGATAATAAAACAATTTTCAGGAAATTAATACGAATTATTTGCCACAATAAAAAACAAGTTGGATCACTTTTTTTCCAGATTTTGATATATACGCGTATAGTTTATCTACATCTAGGAATTAAATGAAACGATTAACACATTGTTTTCTTATTTTTTTATTAAGCACAAAATATGCAACATAATTGTAGAAATACTAGATAAAGAGTGAATTCAATAAAATAATTGTGTTCGTTATCACTACGAGTATTCTTGTGTTATTCCTGACATTTTGTAATCTTAAAATTTAGTAGTATTTTAATTTCAAATGACTCCTTCAAAATTAGCAGCGCAACATCCTATTTCGATTAAAAAAAGCACACTGATGCTGGCTTAATACGTGTATCAAATGCTAAAGCATATAGCGAGAAAGACGTGCGATCCATGAAAAAGATCAAAGGATAAATAAAACGATTGTTAAGAAAGATATGCGAACAAGCTTAACCGTAGCGTTCATAAAATAGAAATAAAATGGCACGACAGTTTTATAGATGATTCCTTAGATGTGTATTACGTATAACAAGAATGTTAATGCACTGACAATACATTGTTATCAACAAATGAACGAATATGTAAAGCAATTTCATGCTGATAATGGTTTCCATTAATAGTTCATGTTTTAATTTTTATTCTCGTTTATCTCGCATAGCACACAAACTTTAATAAAGATTGCTTAAACATGTCATACGTAATTAATATCTAAAGTATCCTTTATTAAACTGTGTCAGTGCAGCCATATGAAATAAACAAAAGCTGGAATTCCATGCATAAGTTCTTTAGAAAAGAATGTGTTAGCAATGACAAATAAGTTAAAATTTAAGACGTTTTTCGCTTTCTGTTATTCTGCTTAAATTGCGCCTTAGAAATGTCTGCTTATTTCATGTATATCTTATTCGTTTTTATGATGACACAAGTAATCAGTTACGGAAGCTTCAAAGGGTCACCTCTTACGCGATCTTTTATGAGAAGATTTACGCAAGTCGAAAGAATTAAGGTGCAAAGGCATGATATTTTTAGTGTTTTCGCAAAAAATAATTCGAATAAACCAGAAGATTTGAGTTAATTGGCCAAATGTTTTCTTGCAAAAACAGAAACATTGCACATTACGAGTAAATTTTTTGCGAGAAATTAAAAAAATGTGTTTTTTCGAAAAAAATGTAGACGCAATACATGCTACATTTCACTTTCTCAAAAAAAATTGACGCAATAACTTATACATTACACCTTCTCGCAAAAACTTTTGATGCATTACCCTCATACATATCGTTTGATGAAAAAATGTTTGCGCAATGCCTAAAGTATATTCCGCTTTTCGTTATATTTTTGTCGAGATCGTCATTTTTGGACACGAGGCCATTCGAGAAGAAAAAATGGTAAGTTCTCCTGTTTTTGCTAAACTGTTTACAAATGCATGATATGCTTTCATAATTAGGCTTATTTTCTGAATAGGGAATCATTTTGATAGAAATATGCATCATGTCAGTCGGTCAATTTTTTTCACATATCCATGCATTTGGTACTATCATTTGCTGATAAAACTGTAGACATTCTGTTGCAAGGCTTTAGAAATCCCGAAGGGTCCACGATCCAAGGAACTCTGAATTTCTGTTGATGCGAATAAATTGCTTTTCATTTGGAATACCTGGAAGTAATGTTCTGTTTGAAAGATCCAAATTTATCAATCTTTTCTCTTTCGACCCTTTTACGTATAAATTCATAAATAAAAAAGTAATAAATAGATCTAAATAAATAAATAATTTTTTGAATGAACCAAATCGGCTATACAGTACAGTATATGGAAAGATGAGAATGAAGTTTGTAATATGTACAGTTACTTCCCTTATATTCCGTTACTCCATTTTTTATTTCAGTTTCAGTGTGCCGGCATGGAAAACGAAAAACAGAAACTTCCGTTGAAACTTTTCAATGTAACAAGAAATGTAAGAAAAGGGGTGATTGTGACTAGTTTTGAAGATCTCATTGCAAAATGTAAGTTCACATTATAACATGCATTATCTTTCCCTTTACTGTATCTGTTTATCTGATATTTTTGTATATGGCACAGGCCGGTGAGGACCACAGACACGAGTATTGGACCCGAGATGAAAAAGTATGACCAGATAAGATTGATAGCAAAAACCTTCTAAACCAAAAATGTTTTATAAATTATGACACCCTTTTTAAAATATACTATAAGTTAACTATAAGTTAAAAATGTTTTTATATGCCCCAAACAATTTCGGGCATATTATGTTTTACCCCCTAGCGTCCGTCCGTCTGTCTGTTAGCAATTTGGTTTCCGGAACATAACTTAAGTTCCAATTCAAACTTCATAGGATGATTGTCCATATTGGGTATATGACCCCTATTGATTTTGGGGTCACAAGGTCAAAGATCAAATAGAGTGAAATCAAACTCCTCGCAGCGGTTACTTCCCCTGATCTGTACAGTAACCACTGCCACCACAAGTAAATTCGGTCGAATATAGTCGGATATATTTTTTTCACTTTTAATTTTAAAATAGAATACTTTATATCATTTTAGTTTTCTTTCGTTAAATAGTTATGCTTAATGTACAAGAAAGTAAAAAATTATACGTATAAAAATTATTTTGAAAACATAACGAAAGATATTTTCACTGTGACACCGTATGCATAGTAACAACCAGTAAACAATGGCAGAATATAAACAGTTATTGAACGATTGCACAAAAAGATTTGATCCGGCACTTGTTTTAAAGTGATAACAAATTGTGTGTCTTGAACTTATTTTGTCTGGTAAGGATGTAATTATAAATCTGCCAGTTTGATATGGGATCCTTGGCGTTCTGAAACTGGCCGCCATGTTTTTGTCACATGATACAACTATCATCACGTGATTTCAGTGGTGGCAGTGGTTAAAGTAGCAAAGCGTGACGTAACCGCTGTGAGGAGTTTGGAGTGAAATAAGAATCCCTTAACGAGAAAACAATAGGCGGAACTAAATAAAATGGAATTTTGAAAGGGGATCTGAGGTTATGAAGCCTGCATATCACATATAACTTCAAAAGACAAATTTAAAAAGCAGGCTTCATATCCTAAGGGTGATTTAACAGTATTCAACATAGGAACTCTGGAACAGGACTGCATATTGCGGCGCATAAATCCGAATCCGTACCAGCTTTACATATTGTTTGTCCGACCTTTGAATATCTTTTTATATTATACGAGCGGATGGTCTTTAATTATCTTATCTCAATTTAATATAGTCTGCTAATTTAAAAATCAGTCAAATTTACGGTATATTGAAAAAAGAAAAGGAGTGACATCCGCCATTTGACAAAGCCCATTTGTTTTGGAAAACTTGTTCCGGTTAGGTGGTTTCCTGCTTACATTTGTTAGTGCATGATTGAACGAGAAACCAACTGCAATCGTGCCAATCACAACTTTTTGGCCCTTTCCGTCACTCTTCGGTTTAATGATTATAGCCGATGAAGTTCCGATTGCAATCGTGACAATTCGGGCGAATCTGTCATACTGCGGAATCAGACGAAGTAATATTACGGAAATCTAAGCTATTTTAGTTACTTCGGTAATCCCAGTTTGTTTATATAAATAGGATTTCTATTTTTACTTGATTTATCGGTTTAAACCGTAATAAATTATAAACGAAATTGTTACGTTTCAATTCTTTTTCAAGACGCAAAAGTTAGTTTCTTTTATAATTGTTTTTGTCTGTATTAGTTTTGTATATTAATTAACATATATACCTTATACAATAGAGGATGGTTACGTCTCCAAAGGGTGGTCTTGCTTACCAAATCACAGAGAATATTAGTGCATGATCAACTTATATTTAGATCTAATGAACGCAGTGAGGTAATCTAAAAATAGCCCATGCATATCATTAACCTTACCGTATCTGTGGTTGTGTAACATAGTTGATACATGCTTATTAATTGGTACCACGTAACGAAGTATTTTAGTGCATTTACTTGTCCATAAAGATGCTATATAAATGAAATTAGAAACTGCCAAAACGAATGATTTCTCTGGAAATGAAATGTTCACACTTGTTTCCTTTTCAGAATGATAGAATAGTTAGTATTTTTATGATTGATTATTTTCTTTACAAGTTTTATACAATAGAGAATAGATTTCAAATTGTTTTGACAAAAAATATTCGTTTTTACAAAAAAAAAAAAACTAAATAAACACTTTATGAAGGCACAACTGTGCAAGCCTTTCCTTTTAAAAGGAAACTTTATTTTATAATACCGTAAAATTTGACCAGTTTTAAAAGTAACAGATTGGGTTCAAGTGATAATATATTGTTTGAGGCCATATGCTCGGATAATACTTAAAGATATTTAGATGTAGCAGAAACGTTTTTAAAAACCGTTACACGATCTAAAATATGCGCCGCAATCTACGGTCCCGTTCTCGAGTTCCTATGGTATTCAAGTGAGGAATAGTATTATATTGGAACTACCCAACAAGAAAGGTCACTATCACCTTAAAACTGAAAACAGTTTCCGGAGCATAACTTAAGTTCCATCTGGCCCATGATATCTAAACTTCATAGCATGATTGGCAATCTCCTATGTATTTTTCAGGTCTAAAACGTGTATATAATACACTAAAGAAAACGGAATGAACCTTATATATACTCCTGGTTTAGACCCCGGGGTCTAATCCAGGATATAGCCGCATGATTTTCCATATTGGGTAGAAGACCCCTATTGATTTTGGGGTCACAAGGTTAAAGGTCAAGGTCACTATTACCATAAAACTGAAATCAGTTTCAGGAGCATATGTTTACTTCCATTTGGCCCAGAATATTTAAACTTCCTAGGATGATTGTCCATATTGGGTAGAAGACCCATGTTAATTTTTAGGTCATATGGTCAAAGGTCAAGGTCACTGATACCTTAAAACTAAAAACAGTATCAGAGCATAACTTAAGTTCCATTTGGCCCACAATATTCAAACTTCATAGGATGATTGTCCATATTGGGAAGGAGACCCCTATTGATTTTGGGGTCACAAGGTCAAAGGTAAAGGTCACTATTACATTTAAAATGTAAAATGGTTTCTGCTCATTAACTTAAGTATATATCAACCTATAGCTGTAAAATTTTATAGGATGAACAGGCGAGACCAATACAGGACCCCTATTTATTTTAGGGTCATAAAGTCAAAGGTCAGGGTCACAATGATCTTTACATTGAAAATTGTGGTCAACTTCAGAAGCTTTTCTTGCTTGTCTTTATGTATTTTTAATTTTTAATTCTTTGTGCTATTCTAGTATCAGTTTCAATTATTTTTATTCAGAATCACATTTTGTAAACTTGGTTATCACTTGTTCAAAGTAATTTTGAACTGTTTCATACAATATCACTTTTCAACCCTGTATGTATAGTTTTATTAAAAGAGTTATCTTGTTTACTGAATACATTTCATCAAAACAATCTTTTGCTTTTTTTTCCCTCTATGCACATAGTTAAGTTACAATTTTTTTTCATGTTTCTATAAGAGAGTAAGATAATTCAACCTGAAACTATCTTTCTTGTTGAGTTGACTAGTATACCTATGTTATCTTAAATAAATATTGACTGGTGGTGTCATCCTGACAAACAGTATACATGGTTATCTAAATACTGAGATTGTGTTATTATCTAATTTTTTAGATAACTAAAAAAATAGAAAGATTGCATTTTCGAAGCACAGTCATAGGCCAATTTTATCACAAATTTATGAATGGATGATCACCAAACTTGGTTCATATCATTTTTACTATAAAGAAAAAACAATCAGTGTCGGGAAACTTTTTAACTAGAGACACAAGTTGAAGTTGAGCTGGACTTGTCTTTCTACAAATTTATTGGAAAAATTATATCACTGAAAAACAATTGTTTCTTGGGAGCAATTAAGTAACATCATGGCCCTCTTGTTTTATATTTATTATGATATACATGATATATATTCATGATGTTCCTGATATATATATCAGGAGCAAATAATGAAACTATACTTGATATATATTTTTGCAGGTCGACAAAAGTTAAATATTCGTCCTGAAACGGAAATTAAACTTATGCTAAACTCCGATGGAGTAGAAGTAGAGGCAGACTATTTTGATTCCTTAGAGCCAAATACCACACTTATGGTACTATGTGGAGAAGAAAGGTGGACTGCACAATTCACAGGTAGGTACTTAGAGAATCTGTTTGGTGCATAGTTGTATTGTTTTTAGTTTCAAAATTTTTGATTGTTCAAATTATTTAGTACTAAAATGAGATAATGTGCATATGGCAAATAGTAACAGTTATGCATTTAATACTAAAAATACAGTTGAAGATGAAATGCAGGATAATTCTGCAAATGTAAATTTGATTAAATTTGGCCCTTGATTTTTAACTTAAGATTTCTTTCAACAGCTCTTTCACTTGTTGCTTTGATTTTTGAAAAATTGATGCAAAATACAAACTGTGAATTATTCAAATTCAGGTTTTAGTTTAATCTATTGTCCCTTGATGCCATAGCCCTTGAATAATGTTAATGCCAGGTTATCTCCTCTTGAACATATCCAATAGTTATATGGATTTCCATTATATTTCATGTTCATGTTCATTGTTTTAAGTCTTTTGGAAATTTGAAACATTTAAAAGTGTGACTTGATTTTTTTTCTATGACAAGCACTTAGTATGTAGCCTGCTCACTTAAATAATTAAGTATTAATAACTGAGAACAGTCAAGCACATGGTTTAACAAACTGCTCTTGTTAAAATATTTCTGTTTTTACATGACTGACTGTACATTAAATACACCCCTTTATGCCATATGATGATCAGTTTATCTTTTATGAAACTCTTAAAAGAGCAGCATCTTCCTGACCTTAGCTTCAAGGGAAAGACCACGTCTATTTAAAATAGGGCTCATTTTGGTTGTTCAGGTCATATGTTTAATATACCTCTAAAAGGGAATTCTTCATGTTCACTATCATAAGTTAATGAGCAGAGTGAGTCAAACACAATTATCAGAGTCTTTGAAGCTCTTCCACTTATTTTTTTGGATTCTTTCATGTGAGGAAGTATCCAGCTAGCTTACGTCGGTGGTTCTACTCAGGTGCCCGTTTGTGTCTGAAATAATGCACAGAAGGGCACCTGAGGTCTTCCTCCACCAGTAAAGCTGGAACGTGGCGATATGACCAATACTGTGTCAATGTGAAATAAAACCTAAAACAAACAAACAAAAAAAACTTATTTTTAAGCATGGTCAGCATTTTTGTGTATCATAACTGAAATGATACCTCAATACATGTACTAATGTATAGCTTACACCTAGGTTCTATTTAAATGATTTTAGTTTATACTAATTTGCTTTAGCTTGATTGTGTAGAAAGCTGTACTACTTATTAAAAGATACTTAGGTCTGCTCCTGGTACCAAGCAGTACTTAGCAGCGAAAAAGTTTCTTGGTGAAAGAAACAATGGATTCCAATGGCAGAAGTTTGAACCACAATCAAATGCTTACAAGTTAAAAGCATTCACCACTTGATCATGCTGCAAAGGTCTACTAAAGCGTTTGTTTCTATGAATAATCAGACTTTCTGACCTGAAAGCAGAAGATGTCTGTCTGCATATTCAAATAATATTGCTAAATGACCATAATAATTATCATAAAATTAATTTATCATTTATTTTAGGTGGAAGTTCGGATGATAATAGTGCAGATAGAGGAAATGAAAAACCAAAAGAAGAAGGTAATCTTTATGTCTTTTGAGTCAATTTACACTGTATAAGAAGAGGACTTTTTGAAGGAATTTATATTTTGTTATGATAGGCAATTTTTCTTTATGAAAAAAGAAAAAAATCAACATTTTTTTTAGATTAGTAAATTCAGGTTCTCTATCCATAATAGACGTAGTACATATCTCATCGCTAGAAAGACATAGTATTTTGCCACAAAATTCCTGTCAAAATTAAACTGTTGTACCAAAGACTTTTCTGCAATAAATAAATGTTAAGGGAGATAACTGATGTTGGAGTTAATTGTGAGCAAAGTATTGTTTTCTTATTTTGAAAAAATATTAAGACTGGATCCTCAAAATACCTAATTTTGACAGTCTGAAATAACATAGTTCTGTATCCAGTTGACTAAAACACAACATCCACCATGGTATAAATGAAAAATGAAATCTTAAACTTTCTTTAAGGGACAATCTGTTATATAATAAAGGGAAGTTATAAAAATAACTTTTTGATTTAAATCATCACTACAATTTTGTTAATAAAATTTATAAAAAAAATTCTTAAACTTTTTTACTTAAATTATTTTTTTATTGTTGAACTTTTTGTGTTTTATTTTGCATTGATATATTTATAAAATCAACTTATTTATATAAACTTCACACTTTCTATGAGTAACCAACTTGCTATAAAGATTTGATACCTTTTAGGCTTTTCATGATCAGTTAATTGGTTTTTGAGCATACACTTCAATATGTTTGATCTCCAGGAGATGCCTTGTTTGTTAGTTGTTGATAGCTTGAATCTTGTACTGGTTCTTCAAAGGAACAATGGTTTGGAAAATACTCCCCTTTAAGATGGAAGAAAAAGTGTTCAAAAGTCCCTAATCCATATGAAAAAAAACAAAGAAAAACAACAAACAAACAAACAAAAAAAAAACAAACAGTAAAAATGTTTCTGTCTGTTTCATTTGTTTGAGTACTACAGAAACTATTTTGGCTGTTGCTGCCTTCAGTTCTAATGCACATGGAAGCAGAGACTCTTGTCATCAAGGCCCCTTATACTGTTTTAGTTTATAAGATGCAATGATCCACCTTTACAAGTAACAAGACTTAAATCAATAGTTATCTAATATATAGAGGATATTGAATGAGTGTAAGTTCAATACTGAATTTATTGCACGAGTTGAATAAAATTATATTATGCGAGCCTCTGGCGAGCATAATATCATTTTATTCAACGAGTGCAATAAATTCAGTAATGAACTTACACGAATTTAATATTCTATTTATCACATACCCAAAATAAAGACCGTTTAAAGTGAAATAAGAGTCATTTTCCGTTTACGCGCCTACAGTAGGCGCGTCTTTACACTACGTTTGCATAACACTAATGACGTCACGTCAAAATATATGCACGGCCGTGCAATACCATATTTACGGAGTCGCAAAATCGGCACGGGTGTGTGATAATATATATTATGTTATAACATAATATAGTATTTCATTTTACAATTAATTGATTTACATGTATTTGCAGATTACAACGACATGATGAAACTTGTTGAATCAATCCAATCGAACAAATGGAAGAAGAAAAAGGTAAGTTACCTATGAATTCAGTTCATTCTTAATAATCTCTTTCCAACATTATAAGTTTTAGACAATTAATGTGATATATGTATATGGGTTTTACTATTTGACAAAACTGACTGAATACACCAGCAAATTTCTAACTATAAACAATTAAATATGTGTAAGTATGTAACAAATGTTACTTTTATCTGCAATGATAATTGTCATTACTCGTTTTGTTTAAATAAAGTGATGGGCCCTGTGTGTATGTCAGTCTGTCTGCAACAAAACTTAAATATCTGTGTGCCTCATAATTTCCATGGTCTTAGAATGCAAAACTATTGCCCAAATGAAATTGTTTAAGCATTATTAATTGCAAAAAGCGTTTGTATAAAAATTGAATGTTTTCGCCAATGTTGGTATACTATACATTGTATATAGAGAGGTAATGAAGAAATTGCCTTTTCAAAAGGTTTTACAGATCTGCAGTTCATGAAAATTCAGGCTGTCAAATTGTTCCTACTTTTTCCTACTTTCTCCTACTTTTTCAAGTGTTCCTTCTTTTTCCTACTTTATTCCTACTTTTTATCTTCAATTCCTACTTTTTAAGAACTTAAGAAATTTGCAGTTAAAATAAAGTTGAACTTTTAAATCAGTTTTAGTATTTTAGTTGAAAATTTTTGTTGCTATGGCAACAAATAGACTGAATTTCAAGATTTCTCATTCTAGTTTTTATGCCTTTTCACAATAAGTTATTTATTTTTAAGGTATTTACTTCCAGCTTTAAGTTTTCGGTCATCAACCACATCATATGTAATAAGGTTTACAACTCTAGCACAAAAATTATCAGAATTACCTCCCTTGAACTTAAATTTTTTTTGACAAAAATGTTTTTGTTTTTTAAATAACTTGTTTACTTTTTAATGTATCTACTTCAAACTTCATATTTGTGTCAATTTCAATAAATTGTTATTATCTCTCAACATTTGTGAGAAGATTCAATACTCGGCAAGATTATTTCCAGAATTATATCCTCCTTGAACTTAGATTCTTTTGAGAAATTTGTATTTTTCACTTTCTTATAGGAATTACTTCAAACTCCAACATCATAATAATATGACAATGTTTATGAAACTAGAATCCATATTTCCAGAATTATCTCCTCCTTAAACTTTGATTTTTTCTTATTCATTCTTTAACTTTCTTATTTCTTTATGGATTTACTTCAAATTCAAAATAAACATTCATTATCAACACCTACATTATATTTTTTTATAAATTTTCATCTTTGTTACTTAACATGTTAATGCTATATTTAAAAATTGTTATTTTCTTAATTTTATAAAATAGGTTGTTAAAATGATTTCAAGGTAAGGTGTGAATATGGATCATCTGGGGTTAAGATCTAGGTCACACAGCCCAAATATGAAAAACCTTGCTAACACTCTAGAGGTTACTGTTTTGATCCAAATATCCTGGAAATTGATCAGAAAGATTTTTTTCATGATTTCTTTGCCAAGTTCGAATAATTGGTCACCTAAGGTCAACAACTAGGTCACACAGTCCAAACATGGAAGCACTTTGTTAACACTCTGAGGTTACTGTTTTGATCAAATATCATGAAAGCTAATTGTCAGAAAGGTTGTTTTAGTGATTCTTGGGTCAAGTTAAAATAATATTATGGGTCATTTCTGGTCAAAAACAAGATCACATAGCATAATTAAATGGTATTGAGCCTGCAAATTCAAGTGAGCGATAAAAGGGTTAAAGGGACTGGAGAAAGTGTTAAGGTTTGATTTAAATGAGATTAGACGCAACCCCGAAAAATTTGTAAATTAAATTTGGCAAAATTAATAAAAAAAGTTTAACATTTAAAGGAAAATTGTTTACATGTACATTGTGTATTCGCAAAATAACAAAAAACAATACACCATCATTGTAATTGCAAAAATGCCATTGATGGCAGGTCTCTTGTATGTATATAAGTTTATTTCTTTCAGACTGATTCCCAGCGCATTCGATTTAGAACTAGCATCGGATGGATGCATTTCAGTGCAAAAGAAAAACGATACAAGCAAGTGAGGTCATCGAAATTGGACCCTAAAAACATTCTTGACACTGCTTTACATAAAGATATATCATATGATGAAATTGTAAAAATGGCTGCAGATTTCTTTTTTCCTGATGGAAGAAGCAGAAAGGGGAAAAAATCGTGCATGCTTTTCATGCTAGGTAAAGTGAATAATGTGATAATACCTAAAGAAGGATTTTCTTTAGCAAAATACGCTGAGAATAAAATGACGTTGAAGTTGAGAATCTACTTGTATTCTAAAGTAAAGGTATGCTTTATTTTCATTTATATTCTTTTGTCAATTTAAGTCATCCGAGAAAAATGTTCAACACAATGTTATTTGTTTACATGACATCAAGTATACCCAAAATATTTGCCAATATCAATTTACATGATACATGATAATTGACTGTAACAGATTTTTGGGAACTTGCACAACACCTTTGTGTGTCATCTGGAAGAGGCAACATAAAAAATGGGGTAACTTTTGTCGGTGGCGTCGCTGTCGGTGTCAGCGGCGTTCCCTAATGCTTGTCCGGATCATAACTCAGTCACTGTGGGTTAGAGTCGATGACTTCTTATCCAGTTACCTCTCTGGCGATCCCTGGGAGATGCTTTGCACAGAGGAAGGTAGTCTAGTACTGGTGTAACTCTCCAGGTACGATGGTTAGGAAACTTCCCGCCTATATGACTGAAATGACTGTTGGGAAAAGTCGTAAAATGAAACAAACAAACAAATAATTTTGTCCAGGCCATTTCTCTTCAACTAAAAAATCTATTGAATTGCAACTTCATACGCCGCTTTTCATGGAATGGCACGGAAGTGTCACATTGAAGGTTCCATGATAACCGCCGTATGAACACATCTGCGGATGTTCTAAATTCAAAATTTTACTATTTCACGTTTAAATGTTGGGTTCTGCTTGGGCCGGTGCTAGGGGGCGTGGACGGTAACTTGCACTTTCCAGTACCGTCCATGAACAGGCTCAATCAAACCGAGCCTGCAACATTTTCAATTTTGCCGTGTTGGGCTTTCTTTAGGGATTCTGTCTTCATCTATTTCATAGGATGATAGATCTCATTAAAGAAGTGCAGTGCACAAGAACCGATACACTGCACTTCTTAATTTCTTACTAACCCTTTGTTTACTTTCATACTTTATTTTTAGCTCACCTGTCACAAAGTGACATGGTTAGCTCTTGTCATCACTTTTCGTCTGGCCGTCGATCTGGCGTCAGTAAACTTTTACTTTAAACAACATCTCCTCATAAACCACTAAGCCAATTGCATCCAAACTTCACAGGAATAGTCCTTTGGTGGTCACCTTTAAAGATTGTTCAAAGAATTAAATTCCATGCAGAACTCTGGTTGCCATGGCAACTGAAAGAAAAATCTTAAAATATCTTCTTTTAAAAAAAACCCAAAGATGTGGGGCTTAGATATTTGGCATGATACATCTTCTAGTGAATTTCTATCAAATTTGTTCAGATAAAAGCCAAGGGGATCATTGCTTTTCCTTATTGGTCTGGCCCCAGGGGATCATTGTTTTTGCCTTTATGTACTATATAGTAAAAAATTAAAATATCTTCTTTAAAAAAAAACCAAATAGCTAGAGCTTAGCTACCAAGTTTGTTCAAATAAAAGCCCTGGGGTCAAAATTGGCCCCGCCCCAGGGGTCATTGTTTTTCCCTTTAAGTATATAGTAAAACTTAAAATTTTTTTAAAAAAAAAAAAACCTTTAGAGCTAGAGCTTAGATATTTAGCTTGGAACATCTTCTAATGGGTGTCTACCATTTTTGTTCAAATCAGGGCCCTGGGGTTAAAATTGGACCCGCCCAGAGGGATCATTGATTTTCCTTTTATGTATATATTAAAAACTTAAAAAATCTTCTGTAAAAAAACCGAAAAGCTAAAATTTAGATATTAAACATGAATTACCTTCTAGTGAGTGTCTACCAAGTTTGTTTCAAATAAAAGCCCTTGGGATAAAATTGGCCCGCCCAGAAAGGGGGGGGGGGTTCATTGTTTTTCCCTATATGTGTATAGTTAAAACTTAAAAAATCTTCTCAGAGCTAGAACTTAGATATTTATCATGAAACATCTTCAAATGGGTGTCTACCAAGTTTGTCCAAAGAAAAGCTCCTGGGTAAAAATTGGCCCCGCGATTTACAGATGAGTGATTTCAGGGCCATTATGGCCCTCTTGTTTCATAATACCTGCATGCTTAAGAAACCTTTTCATGGGCATTTGTCAAAATTTGTCAGCTCTTGTTCACAATTTATCATCATTACTAAATCTGGTATATCATTATCCTCATACTATTTCAAAATATCATACAAATAATGATACAATAATCAAATAAAACATCTGCATTGAGATATAGCTCTGTGGTGAAGTGGTTATGCGTAGGACCTACTGAGACCCCAAAAGAATATTTATATGCCCCCTCCATAAATTGCGGGGCCAAATAGTGTTTAATCAATGATGTTATATTTTCGATCCTTGAAGATCGTTCAGCACGACATTATTGTTGTGCTTGTGGTATTTTTAGTTTCAACTTTTCGGCATTTTCTAGTTGGGTGGTTCCAATATTCCTACTTGAATAATGTTGAATCACCCTTAGGATATGTTGCCTGCTTTTTAAATTTGTCTTTTTGACGTCTTATCTGTGATACGCAGGCTTCATAACCTCTGATCCCCTTTCAAAATTCCATTTTATTTAGTTCCGCCCATTGTTTTCTCGTTTAGGGCACACGCTTTTTATTACTTGGGGACCATACGCCGCTTTTCATGGAATGGCACGGAAGTGTCACATTGAAGGTTCCATGATAACCGCCGTATGAACACATCTGCGGATGTTTCTAAATTCAAAATTTTACTATTTCACGTTTAAATGTTGAATTCTGCTTAAGCCGGTGCTAGGGGGCGTGGACGGTAACTTGCACTTTCCAGTACCGTCCATGAACAGGCTCAATCAAACCGAGCCTGCAACATTTTCAATTTTGCCGTGTTGGGCTTTCTTTAGGGATTCTGTATTTATCTATTTTATGATCACATCCGTGTTATTTGTGCCGTGTGGCGGCTGTAAAAAGTCTCCCCGTACATTTAATCAATGATGTTATATTTTCGATCCTTGAAGATCGTTCAGCACGACATTATTGTTGTGCTTGTGGTATTTTTAGTTTCAACTTTTCGGCATTTTCTAGTTGGGTGGTTCCAATATTCCTACTTGAATAATGTTGAATCACCCTTAGGATATGTTGCCTGCTTTTTAAATTTGTCTTTTGACGTCTTATCTGTGATACGCAGGCTTCATAACCTCTGATCCCCTTTCAAAATTGCCATTTTATTTAGTTCCGCCCATTGTTTTCTCGTTTAGGGCACACGCTTTTTATTACTTGGGGACCATACGCCGCTTTTCATGGAATGGCACGGAAGTGTCACATTGAAGGTTCCATGATAACCGCCGTATGAACACATCTGCGGATGTTTCTAAATTCAAAATTTTACTATTTCACGTTTAAATGTTGAATTCTGCTTAAGCCGGTGCTAGGGGGCGTGGACGGTAACTTGCACTTTCCAGTACCGTCCATGAACAGGCTCAATCAAACCGAGCCTGCAACATTTTCAATTTTGCCGTGTTGGGCTTTCTTTAGGGATTCTGTATTTATCTATTTTACCAGGTCCATCATTCCATCACTCTGTCATTATAGCCCCGCACAACAAAGTTGTAAGGGGGGTATACTGGAATCAGCTTGTCCGTCAGTTCGGCTGTCCTTCCGTACGGCCGTCCGTCGGTTTTTTCTTGTCCGCCCAATAACTTAAGATTCCTTTGACCCTTAGTCTTCATATTTGGCATGGAGGTTAGTCATGATTAGTAGATGACCCCTATTGATTTGAGGTCACTAGGTCAAAGATCAAGGTCACAGGGGCCTTGACTTCAAAAAGCTTGTCCGCCCAATAACGTAAGATTCTTTTGACCTACAGTCGTCATATTTGGCATGAAGGTTAGTCATGATAAGTAGAGGACCCCTATTGATTTTGAGGTCAAAGGTCAAGGTCACAGGGGCCTTGACTTCAAAAAGCTTGTTCGCCCAATAACTTATGATTCCTTTGACCCACAGTCTTCATTTTTGGCATGGAGGCAAGTCATGATTAGTATATGACCCCTATTGACTTTGAGGTCGATATTCTTAATCTATCGTTACCTTACAAACTATCAGATATATGTACATAAATGAAATCATTTTAAGGAAATTAATACATTTCGATTCCATAACATTTTAACAATTATCAAACATACATGTATTTGCATGTGCATTATACAGACATAATAAGAACAACTCCACGTGGCCTATTTACTGCCGTTGTCATATACCCCATGAAATGTTTCCCACTCACTAAAAACCTAATTCTGTAGTAATCGACTATGAAGCGATGATAGTATGTTTTGATAAACATCGCTTGCTTGTTCTGCAGTGTTCAGTTGTTGAAAGAAATGTGAATTTAACCCCATCCAATTTTCACTCAACTGCAACATTTCGCTGCAACAACCATGGATAGGTGGTTCCTCGGTATACACCCGCACCAGATTATCCAATTCTTCTTCAGAACAATTTATTGCAAACGAACAATCTGTATAACCAAACATTCTTGGCTGATAATACATCATGTTGGGTTTACCTGTTACAGTCTCGCAATAAGTTTGTGACCGAATCGTATGTATATTCCAGGATTTCTTAAAACAGTCAAGATGATTTTGAATGAGAGGCATAAAACAAAGTCTGAGGCATTCGATATGCAACTGATCGGTATTATCAAATAGGTTTTGATCAATCAAATCTTTAAAGAAGTTCTTCCAATAACAAGTAAAGTTTCTCGAGAGGAAACTCCAAAGCATTTCAATTCTTTGATTTGCAGTTGATCTCCCAACAGAAACAGAATTGTACCCTGACATGCTATCAGTATGTGACATTCTAAGTGCGATCTGAAGGTTCTCTAATGTACAGTTTTCAGTTCCTGCATCAACCCTTACCATTCTTGGGACATGACCACGTTTCTTGACATGTTGCATGAAATAAAATGCAATAAAAGCAGGGTTTTTATTTGATGGTGCAGCTTTCAACCATAGAATTTTTCGGGAAAATCCATCTATAGCTCCATGAATTGATATTCCAAATGGTTTTAGTTTGTCATATCCGTCGACATGAATTACGAAGTTTGGGCCTCGATTGAAATATTGTCTACGTCTTAATCGCCTTGCTTTCCTGTTGACTACTCCACAAGGGTCTAACGCCTTAAGACAAATTCTCACTGTATTTTGATGTGCTCTGATTCCATATTTCAAAAAAAGCATTCTCCATGCTGCTCTGTATCCTAGTTCGGAATACCCCTCTCGATGTAGCTGTACTATTCCACGAGCAATATCCTCTGGGTTGCTTTCTTCACGTCTACGTAAGTTTAAACGTCGAAGAATTCTTTTTATTTTAGTTTTGGAAACTACAATATGGTGAACAAACAAAAACATTCCAGCCATTTCCGAATGCGTATAACCAAGATTGAAGTATTTTTGGACAGTATCGTGTAGGCTCAGCTCATCTCGTAGCATACCATAAGACAACTTGATATGAATTGCCACAAGAAGTATCTGAAAGTAATCAAATAGCAAAGTAAATTATTAGAATTTTTCACTGAATACAACAACATTAAATAGCAACATGCCTCCAGGTTCTTGCTTATTTTTATGAAATTTTTAAAAATGTATCTAAAAGTAAAGTATTGTAAAATGAA